AATAATACTTTTGCAATGCAATTATGATTAGACAGTTTTTGTTTCCAAAAGATTTTGTTTTTTGGCAAGTTTTACAGATTCACAGATTTGTTCTGAAATTATGTGTGATGACGTGTTATGATTCCGGATAACAGCGTTAATAGTTTACAACTTTTTTAATAGAAACTTGCACATGAGGCAGGAATATAGTATAATACTATATTTAACAGTATTGTATAATCTAACCTAACCTTACCGGCGAATATAGGAAGTCCTACGTGAATTTTAAATATGATAAATACAGTTTCTGAAATTGGAATTTTAATTTTTTAAAAAGTTCCCATTTTTATAGAGAAAGAGAGAAGCTCCTAGCGAGCATTGATAATTTCAATCATGGGCTACAAAGGCACATTTCCCCTAGGTGATACGAAACCTTGGCGTTTTGGTGGGAAAGCTTCCATTTGGATGCCAAGGGGAATCCCCTCTGACACTTTAGCTGGGTCTAAGGAGCATTTAGCTGTCTTGTCCCTGGCTATAGTGTCGTGGCCCGGAAATTGCACCAAGGCCAATAAAGATACCGTTATAACTCAAAAAGGGGAACACACAATAGATCTGTAAGGTCGTGGTGATTAACTAAAGTCGTGGTGAAACTAAGGTCGTGGTGACTAACTCCTAAACATTCTACATTCTACAATAAGATATCGAATGGTACTACCCTGTCCGTCATACCAGGCACCCCTTACTGAGAGAAGACAACCTCACCAAAAACCTAAATCCTACCTTCACCCATAAGTCGGGGCACTTATGGGTGAAGACTAAGAGAAGAGCATAGCGGTTGCTGAAATGCTGAGGGTTATTATGAAAACCGGTTCTAACAATATGAATTGACCTACAAATACTAGTAGACAATAGAGTAAAGATGAGCCAAACTTTGATTTTCCAATCGCAACAGAAACTGCAATTGTGGTTTTTAAATCGCAACGACTGTAACCTGCGATTGCGATTTTAATATTTACTATTTATAATAAATAATAATTAATATTTTTAATATTAAATTATTCATAAAAAAAAATATTTTTCTAAATATGGCAATGAGCTACCATTGTTCCATTTAAAAAAATTAAGATATGATTAAAAATACGATTTAGGCATCTTTTAACTGGACGTGGCGAGACGCGAAAAAGAACAGACGATCGAACTTATTTTTTCAAGGAATCTTTATTAAAAATTAGTGTGTTTAACCGGTGTGTTTAAATTTCAATCTAGAAATGACATTCTAGATTGAAATTTAAATAATAATTTAATTCCCGGTGAAACAGGAAGTGGTCGAAAACAATTGAATACATCAACCAATCCTAATTCATGTCATATACTAAGATACAAAACCTCGTTTTTTATAAAAAAAATATAAAAAAGATATAGGGGTGAACCACTCTTTAGACACACCCGGTATATTATTGATCGTGGCCCTATAAAATAATACTTTCTCTATAAATAAATAATATCAGAGAGAAAATTCAATCGCAGTTTACTATAAAATGCTTCAATATACCACAAAAGTACATTCGCAACAATATCGCAAATCGCAACTCCTAAAAATTCGCAGATATGAAACTCGCAGATATGAATCACGGTCCAAGTTTACAAAATCACAATCGCAACAAAATCGCAAATAGCAACAAATTTGCAAGTTACAGCTACAATAATACTGGTTGCCTAAATTGAAACTCGCAAATAGAAAAAATCGCAATCGCAGATTTCAATCACAAAGCCCTGTGGTCTAGTTCCATAGGCAACCCGGTATCTAAACTAATATATTATTACTTATACAGGGTGGTCCGAACTGTATTCCGGAAACTTCGGCAGTATATTCTGCAGATAAAAATAAGTAAAAAAGTTCGTATAAATGTATGTCCTAAAATGCTTAGTTTCGGAGATACAAGGTGTAGAAGTTTCATTTTTATTTGGATTTTTTCCAAATAATTTCCGAAATAACGTCAATATTTGGATGATAATTAGTATCTGGGGGTTTTTTGACATGAAAAATTTGATTTTGATGCCTGATGACTGAATACTCCTATTTGTAGGAGGCACCACCTACATTGTGTTTTAACTGTTTTGAAGAGTAATAACTTTTCGTCCGTACCTGTATAAAACTACTGGGTGAACAATTGCTAAACACATTTCCGTGACTTTTTACGTAAAAAATGTCTCTTGGTAAAAATCGCTACGAGCAACCGTTCTCAAGATATTTAGAATGGAAATAGTCAATATATGTCATTATTTTAAAGATTATTTCTCGACAGTACTTTTAGTATAAAGGATAACATCTCATGTTATATCGGTCTGTTTTTTATCCAATGATACTCATTTATTCATTAAAGCCTCTATATTTCGTTAGTGGTTACTAACATCATCAGGAGGTACCAAGCTACAAGAAACATTATTCTTTACAACAAGGCAGTCTAGCAAACAATACAAATATACAAGATAAGAGTTAACGTAATAAAGAGAAAATCAAAGAACAAAAAAAAACACAAAAATATATCAACAAAAATTTCGTCACAAATTACAATGAGGTAAAAAACATAATAATATATGGCAACTAATTATATATAAGTAAAAACCAGAAATATCAATTAAAGAGTCTAAAATAACTTACAATTAGAGTTAAAATATCGGTACGTGCACACAACAGATAAATTTATTCTATTAATGTAAGTAGGTATATCAATGCGCCGAGATAAAATTCATTTACATGTATTAAAAAATCTTTAACAAAAAACCTACTACCACAATCAAAAACACTAATAATTATTTCTTTATTAACAATTAAAAAAAATTATACATTATTTAAATTTTTGAGATATAGTAATATTAGTATATAATAATATTAATTACGATTAAACGTACACTTGTTATTCTTATTTATTTTATATTATTTTTCAAAACATTGCAATAAATCACACTCAGTTTGTCAATATCCGATCTAAAATTAATGGAGTTTTCTTTATTAATATGTGTCATTTCCAGGAACAGTCTTTTATTATAATTAGATTCACGGTCTAAAACTGAGACATTTTTGTAATCGAAATTATGGTCTTTATCCTGAAAATGAATTGCTAGGGCACAAGAGCGTTTGACAAAAAGATACACACGTTGTGTAGATAGATAATTGACTGAAATAATAAATTTGGAATTTTTTTATTTTTTTAAATTAATCATAATTTTTTCTATGAGAAAATGATGATAAAAAAGTTTCTGTTTAAATTCGATTCCATTATCTCGAGAACCATTCCTTGTAGCGATTTTTACCAAGAGATCTTTTTTACGTAAAAAATGTCATAAATTTATATTTTTTTACTCAGTAATTTTATGCAGGTACGGACGAAAAGTTATGACTCTTCAAACCAGTTAAGAAATATGTAGGTCGCGCCCTGTACAAGTAGGAGTCATATTGACATCAAAATCAAATTTCTCATGTCAAAAAACTCCCAAATACCAATTTTCATCCAAATATTGACGTTAATTCGTAAATTATTTAGAAAAAATCGAGATAAATATGACACACTCTCTATCTCCGAAACTAAGCATTTTAGGCCATAAATTTATAAGAACTTTTTTACCTATTTTTATATGCAGAATATGCTGACGAAGTTTCCGGAATACAGATCGGACCACTCTGTATAAGTGGATTCTTGGACTTAATATGATTTTTTACTGAGTAGCTAAGCCCAGCGCTGCGCTTGGGTTTCCATATAATATAATAATCAATTCAATATTCAATTTCAAATAATAATTTTCAATTTCACTAAAAAAAATCACCTACAACCAGCCCCTTGATGTCAAACTTCGCCACTAACAAAAGGGGGTTCAAACTACCAGATTTAGTGGTGAAACCACTAAGGTGGCAACATAGCAAGGAGAACCAAACTCCAACTGTGGACTCGGAAGAGGTAGATATCCACTACTCGAAGGAAGAACACCTGCTGTGAGAGGAGGATGGGAAATACCTTGTCCCTCTACAACTGGAAAATCTCCATGTATGATGAGTTATAGACTGTATGATTAGTTATAACGGGAATTGAAGTATTGCCAAGAAATGGGCACACAATAGATCTTTAAGGTCACGGTGATGTAAAGGTACGTAACGAGTAAGGTTCCTCGTTACAAGTGCACAGGTTCCATGCGCACAACAAAGGGTGAAATTTAAAAAGAAACGTACATTTTGTTTCTTAACTAAAAAAAAATATTCATTTTCTTAATTCTAATAAACTACCTACTTATTATAATGAGACATGAAAGTGAGCATGAGACTTCATATTTTGCTTGTTATGTTACAAGCCGGTGATGCAAAACAACGTATAAAAAGCCAATGTTTCATATCAGCATAGAAAATCACTCTATATTCGTTAATATTCACCACTAACTACATTTACAAAACTGCATTTGTCACCAATCAGAAGAATTATGTCCAGAAATGTTGTGAAATGCAAATTTCTCGAACCTCATTGGACTTGAACTTTTAAGAAATCGGGTTATTGCTTTCGAGGCTTTAAAAAACACGTCTATCTGTGGAAGTCCGTAAAATGTCAAATACACAATAATCGATGACTACGGCAAATTAAAGCTACGTGATATGAATTTTCGATTAAAAACAATGTAAATTAGTTGAAATTGAGAATTACTAGTCAATATATACGGTATATTTTAGTTTTACTAGGTTAATTATTTTATTGATCATCTTTGCGTTATTTCTTGGGTTATACATTATACATTTGTTTCTTTTTTTATATATTTTTTTTGTTTTGAGTGTTTTTTTATCTTGTCTTTAATATTTTTCCACATTAGCGACCGTAGAAAGGCTACAGTGATTTTGTTACGTAGTTGTTAACGTAGTTTACGCTACAGTGATTTTGATATGTAGTTTAACATTATCTAGTAACACCAACATAATACAAGAAGTAGCTCTAATGATGTAAGTTTAGTTGCACAAATTAAAAAATAAAGTTTGTACTTACTTGCCACTTCCTTATTCCTATTATATAAAACAGTTGCCAATGCAACAATTAGAGAGATTCCTATGATAAAAACTATTGCAGTGATAAGTGTCAAACACCTTTCCATGCTTGTTCGCCTCTTCCACCATGTTGGATTTCTGTAACAAAAGACATATTTTAATAAAACAGGAGGGCATTCCAAAAATTTTTGCAGCAAGTGAAAAACATATTTTATCGTTATTAAAAAAAATGCGGAATTATATCAGCATACCCAATATAGGAAAGACAAAATGACAAATTATGTAGAAATACTCTTTAAAAATGTATTAAGTGGAGTTATATGAGATGATAATAAAAGGAACATGTCTAAAAATAGAGTTTTTGAACTTTTGGCATTCCTATGAGGTACATACTATTTCTCCAAATATGGAAAATTGTTAAAACGACATAAATTACTGTATTTATTAAATATTTGTTTTGCAACTATGAAAACGAAGCAACTGTAAGTAAATAATGCTTCCTTATAGTAGAAAAATAAATATTTCTTGACAGTTATTTACCGTTGCCTGGTAAAATATAGATTTAAGGAAATTTTGATCATTTCTTTCAAAAATGTCATTAAAAACATCAATATTCCTGAATATACATTTATTTTTGTAAAAAAAATATTTGGGATATCTTTCGGAAGAATTTCAGAAAATTATAATTTTTCTGAGGTTTTTTCAAATCTAGTGATTTTTTTAAACATTTTAAACATAGGGATATTAAAACATATATTATATATAAACATTTACTTTTTACAAAAAATAACAATTTTATTTTGTAGATTTTTTTGCAGTGGCGAAATACCCATATTGAATTTTTTGGGAGATGAATCCGTGGGGCCATATAGGTATAGACATAATAGGCATTTTTCATTTTCTTTGTTTCAAATAATTTCAGTACAAAAATGTTATTGTATCTATTTTGAAACTTAAAAAATTAGATAATCCAAATTAAAAAAGCAAAAAAAACAAGAAAGAGATAAAAATATTTTTCTTTGATTATTTTCGATTTTTTTTTGATTTGGTCTTGTAACTCCAATTTCTTTATTCAAGAGTTATTTGTTTCTTATTAAAATTTTTCTTTATATGTGAGAGTGAAAGACATAATAGGTATGGCGAAAAATATATTTTTTGTTATTGAACTTGCTGAATAAGTCCCAATTTTTTTTTATAATTAATAAAACACTTTCCTATTTGATGCAAATTTTTTGGCACACGATATATAAGTAATATGACTATCTTATTTCCAATAAACAAAATTGTTAAAATTTGAATGTTATCATAAAAATCTATTGTTTTGGAGTAATTTACTGCGTCATTAAAAGGGTATATACGTATATTCCTACGTGTCATGTATATAATGTATTAATATAATAATCCGTTAATGCCTTTTCAAAGAAAAATGATATTGAATGATTCCAACAAGTCTAATTCTAATAAGTCTAATCATAATATCATCGTAAATTTTTGTTTATTGTTTTATGTCGGATATATGTAATTCTTTGTTACCTTATGTGATATTATAATGGCTTATAAATCAACGCAGTGGTGTTTACAAACAAATAACTTTTTATTTTTCGTGTGTTCATGGAAATGTATAAAAAAACAATCAAATATACATTTATTTTTCCAAAAAAGTCCTATGGGTATTTCGCAACTGTAAAAAAATCTACAAAATAAAATAGTTATTTTTGTAAACACTGCTGCGATAATCCAACTAAGACTATTGTCAGCAGTGGTTTATGGTTTACTAACAAACAAATTTGCCAAACGGACAAAAAAATACTTAACGTTTCGGAACAAAGAATTTTTTTTTAATTAAGCTATTTAAAATATCTAAATGCAACTACTTGAGAACACTTTGGTTTTTTTAAAACAGATATGTCTACAAAAACCGCTGACGTTCTGTTAAAATGACATTATATCGAGTTAACCCTTAACCGGCGTTAGTCCCTGGGACTCTAGTTAAAATAAATTGTTCCATAACTTTCGTATTTGTCGACCAAGCGACGCGCGTCGTCTAGTAGCTTCCTATGGTGATGGTACCCACATAGTCATAGTGACTAGTCGTTAGTGACTATGTCTAAGAAATTAAAGGTGGCTAAAGCCACAGATCATAACTTTGAAGAAACTATATTAAGATGGTTTAATGAAAGTGAGGAAGAGTTTTCTGACCAAGATCAAGAACCTGAGAGCCATGTTACTACAGAAAATGTTATCACAAGTGATGGCGAGTGAGATGTCTGCCAATGAATCTGATGATCAAGATGAGATGGAGGTTACTGAAACTTTAGAGGACAGTGACACAACTGATCCAACTAAAAAATATTTCTGTTTAATCAAATATTCAAGAAAATTGTGTGTTCAATGCATAGAAAACACCGAAGATTCCTAAATAAAAGCTACACTTGATTTGTTTTTAAACACTTGTCAATTTTTTGCAATTTTACATTAGTGGTGGTTGTATTCTCTTTTTTGTAGTTCCCACCTTGGTGATCACGTTTTTCTATAAGTAATTGTAAAACTTGGAAAATAAGTTTGTTATGATAATGCTTTTATTTATTCACTATTCTAATAAAGAATATGCTTTCCTTCAGAAACTCTCTATTTATTTATCTAGTAATGCTAAAACACTCTATTTGAAAGTCGATTAGAGAAAACAGTATGATTCATTGGCAAGCGATGTAAATATTTGTGATCAGGTAAAATTGTGATGTAAGAGGAGGCTTAACATGCACGGGCGCGGCATCAGTCAGTCGTTGATAGCCGGCCGGCTGTAGTGTTGTGTTTTGTCACAGAGCTGACAAATGGAGGTTGCGAGTCTTTTGACTAATATAGTTGCAAGTTGTTTGACTGTAAGCCAACGGGGTCGTTTGACCACGGTAAGAAAACCTCTGTGACGTCCTGCCTTCGAGTTGGTCTTGAGAGTTTGAGGTCTCCATAATGTCTTCTCGATTGACGATGCGGCGTTGGGATGGTGAGCCACCCAAATAGCTTATTCGATTGGGATGCGAATCTGTTTAGCGACAGAATTGCGTCCGGGGGAAGCCCCTATACTATTTCAGGTGACACTAGCTAGTTGTTGAAGATTATTAACCAATAGATCCGAATAAATGATTGAATTAGATGGAAGATATGGAATGGGATATATTGAATAGAATGTCAGTGATGTCAGTGGCTAGGGGGCGGAGTAACTATCAATTTTATCCAGATCAGTAAATGTTTGTTTTGTTATTTTCATGTACAATGAGAGAGTGCTTGCCAATGACCAACTAAAGGGATATTTTAGGTGAATTTGCATTGTGAGACCCGGTTGAGTAAGCCCCAAAAATAACGATTTTACATAATGTTTGTTGTTTATAAATTTCTTTTTGTAAAATACGATGAAATGTACCATAATGTTCATTTTGTACAAACTGTATTACTTTTGGCTTGTTTGCTTTTTTTTGCTTTATTTTGTAAATAATATGGCTGTAAAAATAAAAATATATTTCCTTGTAAGTGTTTAACGATGTATATAACGAAAAAAATATTATGTTATGATAACACTAATACAGCGTAACTGTATATTTTGGAGTCCCAGGGACTCCGCAACGCATGGAGTGCTAAAATTTACGACCACGCCTGTTAAGGGTTAAACTTCAAAATTAACAATTACTACCTGATAACAATTCTTTAGTAAGGTAAAACCAAAAAGCTTGAAACTTTCTGTATGTTTTTTTTTAATTTGTTATGTTATTTTCTTTAAAATCAAAGAAGCGATTGCCATGCATTACTAACATTTACAGATGCATGAGCAGTACATTTATTTTTATTAGATTGTATTAAAAAAAACTCTTTATTTTTGTTTTACAGTCAATTACAGACAATTCTTAGATTTGTGAAAATCGCCCTTTCTTACTTTTTTTACAGTGGCAAAATACCCATAGAACTTTTTTGGAGAGATGAATCCGCTACAAAGGTATAGACATTTTATACATTGATTTGTTTTGACACAACATATACAAGAAATTGTAAAAAAACCGTTTGTATATTTACAGTTTGATTTGACTTCAGATTTAATATAATTTTTTCTTCAAGACTTGACAATGTCATTGGTGTAGTGCAAGGATCTTCAAAAAAAAAAACAGAAAAAATTAGATTACTCGCTAGTAACATTTTTTCGCGATAAAACGAATATTACGGTATCATGAATTAGTTTTATTCTATAAAAGTCACTTTGCCGATTACGATCAATTTATTTTGTATGAAGAAACAAAAATAAACTATGTAAGTAATAATGTAAGTCCATGTTGAACAGATAGTTGTATTGAAAAATAGTAATAATTTATATCAATGCCCACAATCCTTCTAAATCTGGGGGCACGGCAGTGCCCCAGCCAAATCGGGCACAGCCGTACCATCCTTTTCTCGAAAGTATTAGCGGCACTTTTGACCACCCTGTAACTTCGTTGTAATAAAGCAAGAATATTAACTTTTACTAAACATGAAGACATACTATAACTGGCTAGATTGTCAAAATATCTAGTAATTATACCTCATAGTTTATGAATTCTATATAATAATAGCTATATAGCGTTTAACGCCTTGGGAGTAGCAAGGTACAGCTTGCTATACTAGAGCCGTTCGGTATACAATGAAGGTAATGTGGCTAGCACTACGCTTCAACCGCCTATTATTACCTCAGGATTGTGAATCCCATGTACTCATTTAAGGCTGAGTCGACCTAGGTACCCAAACTATTTTTATTTTAATAAAAATAGTCGGCTGATGAAATGCCGGGTGTGGGAATCGAACCCACACCTTGAGATTGCCAGACTGTACCTCTACGCCACCGGGCACCTCTTCCAGGCAGTTTATGAATTATCCTTTGTCAAATTTCTTTAATTTTGTCACTGGCTCACTTTGCACGATATATAATATTGTACTAATTAAAAAAACTTTATTCTTAAGTGCACTGTTTAGATTTACTTACTAATCGAAATTATAGATTATTCTTTTATAATGATGGTGCCGTGCAATTCCCAAGTCATTATAACTATTCCGAAATAAAGATGTTTAATATTGATACTAGGTTAGGTTAGGTTAGGCTGCTGGGATTTGGGATCATGTTT